ATTAACCCATTGTGTAAGGAAATTAAGTCACAGGCAGAGGGGAGGATTTTGTCTGTAATTGCTGGGAGTGTATTGTATGTATTGATTGGTTGTTTTACAAAACCCTGTGGGCAGTACTATGTGTGCAAAATGTTCATAAAAGCAGTGTCTCATTAAAATCTTCATTTCTTCTTCACACTCAATTTGAGTCCTGTCTCTTATTGGGGGAATCTGCTACTAGGGATTGCTATGCCCTGCATGTTCCCTTGCTATAAACACTCCTAAACTCTTGTAAGAGCTTGTTCCTGGTTTGCGCTCTGAAGGACTCTACGGTGGTTATGGTGTCAGCTGGAGTGCTGGAAGCCCCAGGAAGCACTAGGTGCATCCTCCAACGAAGGTACCCAGTCAGGGTGCCCGTCGATCCGTAACAACCATAAAACCTGTACATGAGGGATGCTGTTATACTCAGAAGACTTCGCTGAACACCAAAATTAGTGTTTCAAAACAGTAAAAACGTATCATAACAATTATCTCGTCCAGGTAAGTGCCATTTGTATGTAAAAAATTTCACTTTCACTGACGATAGCATCGTTGTAATACATTGAAACACTAAAATTTGTGTTCAGTGAAGTAAAACAGTACCCCACATGTACAGGTTGTATGGTGTCATAGAAAGTTACAGGGTTATATACAGTGCTAGCAAATTAAATTCCTTGGACTTTTGGCCTGGGTTGTCAGTCAGGTCCTGCAAATTGTAATTAATAAAATGACCTAATTATTTAAAACTATTACATAAATATATACATAGAATTATTATATATATATATATACACATGTTTGTATATATATATATATATATATATATATATATATATATATATATATATATAATCCGACACTCACCATCATTAAAAAATATAACTTGTAATACCTGGGTGCTTCTAGTGCCAAACATAAAGCAAATAGTGAATTGAGCACTCCTTAGGAAATTTTCAATCATGTATTTAATAAGTAATCAAGATTACTAAAATACACAATTGAAAATTTCCTAAGGAGTGCTCTGTTCACTATTTGCTTTATGTGTATATATATTTTTTGTAATTATTTTTATTTATATATAGTGATATTTTTTCAAGTGTGTGTGTGTGTATGTATGTATATATATATATAAAAATTATTAAAGAAAAGAGGAGTCAGAAGTTGTAATCCAATATTTTTTTTTATTTAGAAAAGCAAGTGGGAGAAGCAACAAAGCAGAGGCAGCCCAGGTTGTTAGGAGCAGTCCTGGGAGGATATAGTGCAGAGGAGAATACCCAATGTATATTCAGGGGAAGGATAGGGAAAACCAGGAGGAAATTGAGAATGTAACAACCTACGATGAACAGCGTCAGTTGTGTTCACATTGTGGATGATAATGAGAAATAAACATCTGAGTGCATTCTTCCCACAGATATCTATTCATCATCATCATCCCTTCTGGGAAGACCCTGCGCACATCTTTCACGAACTAGGCTATCTACATCAGCGATGGTTATGCCCAAATTATGGGCAGCTTGCGCGCGCATTAAAATGCACTCTTCCTCCCTCATTTCCATAAAGCGCTGCATATTTTGCTGCAAGGAAACCATTGCTGATGTAAATTGCCTAACGCCCTCATTCAAAATATTCGACATGGAGCGTACCTCAGTTATTACATTCTGCAATAGTTCTCGCTGATTCTCCCTATCCTGCTGTATGGACGTCTCCAGTTCATCTTGACGAGCCTGGATCGTCGCATACAGCGCAGCTAATGGTGGAGGAAGTTGTGGCATTTCTTCGGCCACTGATGTCTCTGACTCAGGATCCACTGCTGTTAGGGTAATGGTACCCTCCTCTTGCAGGGGGAGAGTACCATCAGAACCTATAGGGGAGAACAGAGAAAGAACATTGTTAGCATGTGTCATATGTTGCAATGCTTACTATTATCTGTAAAACAATATTATTTAAACTTGGAAATAAGATATATGCAGTCATGCTATTAATTTATTATTATGTCTAAGTATAGTTATGCATCTTTGTCGCCCCTAGCCCTTTCTCTGTCTGTTTGCATGTCTTTGTGCCCACCTCCCTTTCCTTCTAATCTCACTACATGTATCGTGGACGAGCGTCCCCAGGTAGAGAATCTCCTGTTTTTTCTGCATGACAGGAAGCTGATCGTTGCACTCAGCTTCCTGTCAGGCCAAGAAGATGGTAGATAAGATCACACGTGGTCCACTCAGCCACAGTACATAAAGTGAACAGAAGGAGAGGAGCAATGTGAGCTCCCCCCCACCCCTGCTGGTCACCCAGACATTTAGCCCCCTGGCCAGCACATGCTAGGCAGATGCTTAGTATGCTTTGCGGTCGACCCGGCCCCGCCTGTTACATAAACTAGTATGCCTGCAAAGAAAATGTGTACAGTTAAAGCATTTTTTACTTACGCTCAGCAGTGGATCCCTGTTCCTGGACACCAGTGGCCGGCTGTTGGAGGGAAACCACACTCGTACGTGGTGAAGAAACGTCGACAAGTTGCGGATGGCCTGAAATACATGTATGTGATAAATTAACTTCATATACAGTAAAATCACATACGTGTGTGTATGTTTAAATGCGCACGCACACACACACATAACATTTATCTAACAATGCTATGCAAGTACTTACGAGAGGAAAGTGAAGCCAGGCGCATTTCCAGGGAGACAGGAGGTGAACCTGCTGCCCTGCTCTCCGTGGAGACAGCATCTCCTGCAGTTCCTGGTGCCTCTTCTGGGGATTGAGGGGCTTGCACTGATGGCATAGAAAACACACATTGGAAGGTTAACACAAGCAAACTGATATATGTACATTTCGACTAACAAATATGAATTTAAAGGACCACTCAATGAAGTGGTCTAGGTGCCAGGTCCCTCTAGTTTAAAGCCTGCAGCTGAAAACATAGCAGTTCTAGATAAACTGCTGTTTCACTGAGGGTTAATCCAGCCTCTAGTGGCTGTCTCACTGACAGCCACTAGAGGCGCTTCCGCGATTCTCACTGTGAAAATCACGGTGAGAAGATGCTGGACGTCCATAGGAAAGCACTGAGTAATGCTTTCCTATGGGTGGTTTGAATGCGTGCACGGCTCTTGCTGCGCATTCGGAGCTGACGTCGGCAGAGGGAGGAGTGTTCCCCAGCGCCGAGGGAGCCCTGCGCTGGAGAAATGTAAGTGGCTGAAGGGGTTGGAGAAAGGTAAGTGGCTGAAGTGGGAAGGGGGCCACGAGGGTGGGGAGGGACCTAATTACCCTACAGTGCCTGGAAAACGAGTTTGTTTTCCTGGCACTATAGTGGTCCTTTAACATCGTGCCTTCAGATGTTTCAGTGCCAGGTGTCCCCTCAATCCCAAGGAGGTTTTCTCTTCCCAGGAACTGCAGGAGCTCCTCTTCATAGGGCAGCAGGTCCGGTTCTTGTGAACCGCCTCCTGTCTTCCTGGAGGCGGCTGCTGCCTTCACCTTCCTCTTCACCATCCGCCTGATGTCGTAGTAACTGCAATGACATGATGACATGTGTAATTGATTAATTACTTTAATATGTTTCTATATATATATGTTTACTGACATGTTTAAAGGGATACTATAGGCACCCAGACCAAGCATTGGATTTGCTGATCTTGTCAATTATGAAGATCGCAGCCAAGGAGGCAGAGCACAGCTCTGCTATAAGGATGAGTAATTAAAGGGACACTCCAAGCACCCAGACCACTTCTGGGTGCCAACTCCCACTACCCTTAACCCTGCAACTGTAAATAAATATTGCAGTTTTCATAAACTGCAATATTTACCTTGCAGGGTTAACTCCTCCTCTAGTGGCGTCGCTGAAACCCCCATAGGAAAGCATTTTTCAATGCTTTCCTATGGGGAGGTCTAATGTGCATGTGCAGCATTGCAGCGCATGCGCATTAGGTCTCACCCCGCCGGCGGCAGCGCATGCACAATTGGTCTCCCCCTGGGATGAGGGGTGGGAGACGGTTTGTTCTCCTGGCACTGGAGTGTCCCTTTAATTACAGTTACATTGCTGAGAGGGAGGTTAAACTGTGTTTTCACAGTTATAGTGACAGGAATGCAAACATGTATTCCTATCACTATAGTGTTCCTTTAAAGCACATGGTGTTTTTTCCCTCTATGTGCTTAAGTGACCCAACCCTCACTTTTAAAAGACTTTAAAAGCATAGCTGCCACTAGTGGGTGTGTGTAGCAAAAGCACATGGAGGAAAAAAAAAAGTTTTAATAAAACATGGCATAAAGAAAATTATTTTTTAGGAATATAAGTGCACTTACCGTTTCTTCACCACGTCCTCGGTGCGGTTGTTCCCTCCAACAGCATTCACCGCTGCCACAATCTTCCTCCACCGATTTTCCTTCTGTGCTCTGGAACTCTTTTTGGCTGCTCCCCCAAATATACATTGGTAGTACTGGCAAAGTTTGTTTACCAGTACTGTATTCTCCTCTGCACGAAAGCTATCTGCATATTTATTCTTCCTCCCAGGATCTGCTCTTTTTAAGATCCTGGGCTGCCTCTGCTTCTGCTTGCTTCTCCCACTTGCTTCTCCTATCTCCTGGCCAGAGTGGCCAATGCCCCCCTCCACTACATCCATGACTTCTATCTCACTTGAGGAGCTGGAGGAGGACATGGCCACTTCTGGCAGGCTCAGTGTTCAAGTGCCTAAAATGGCTGACAGGGTGGTGGGCTGGCTGAGCTCCAAAATGGCTGAATGGCTGGCCTATAGAAAATCTGGATAGATTTTGCATTGAAGGACTGCCTTGAGTTGATACTTTTTTTTTCTACAGTTTTGTCTGGCAGTATGTAAAAGCCTATTTAATTGGCTACTACTTCTTTCCCACTCCCTTATAAAATGATACTGTGTTGCCAGTACCACCTGTCAGGGAAGCATGATGATTCATGAGCCCAAGAAACTAAGCAAAAGCAATGCATTGCATTTGCAATGTCATTCGACATGCGAATGACTATTGTAAGTGGTGTTCGGTAGTTTACTAATAGTGCCAATACATTTTCATGCGAACGGCAGTGTTCGTGCATTTGACGGTTCGGGAATTTGTTCGGGAGTTTTAGGCGTAAATAGATTAGAACATTGTTCAATGCCATGTGTTGGGAGATCAATGTACGAAAATGTAAACGAATGAATGGTTTTACTGCGTTCACTTGAGGCTATTCGCTATTTAGGGATTAGGGAACTGACTTTTATGATTGCATTGTATTTGCAATACCATTCGACATACGAATGACTATAGTGAATGGTGTTCGGTAATTTACTAATAGCGCCAATACATTTTCATGCGAATGCCAGCGTTCGTGCATTTGACGGTTCGGGAGTTTTAAGCGTAATACAATTCAATCAATGCCATGTTGTTAGCAATGTACAACATTTGAAACGAATGGTTTTACTGAGTTCGGTTGAAGCTATTCGGTATTTAGGGATTAGGGAACATAGTTTTATGTATTCAATTCATTTGGCTCAATTAAATCGCGCCGAATGAACAAACAAGTTTAGCCGAAACGAAAATACTACCGAATATCGTACGAAAACGAATGAAAGAATTGACGAAATTCGGTTCTGACTAAAGTATTTTCTTTTTCGTACGAATACATTCGTACGAAACGAAAATTTCTGAAATGCCCAAGTCTAGAATCTACAATAGAAAAACTCAACAGTGAACTAAAATCTATAAAAGAAGATATGAAATAGATATCAATTAACAAACAAAAACTACAAAGCAGATTAAACAATTTGGAAGACAGAGCAAGAAGAGGAAATTTGAAAATAAGAATCATCCCAGAATTCATTACTCAGGACAATCTCAAGATTTAGCTGATAAGCATGTTTAAATTTTTAGGAGCAACATTTCAAGATCATGATATTATTTTAGAAAGATTCCACCATCCAAACAAGCCAACATATTTGGATCCAGATATTCCTAAAACTGTAAATGTTCAACTCCACTCTTTTAGCTTCAAAGAAAACATCCTAAAATTTTAATCACCCGGAGGAAACTTACAAAGATATTCAACTATACCAAAACCTATCAACAGGAACAAGAATTTGGAGGAAAGACTTTGTCATCTTTATTTGTACTCAAAAAATATATCAAATATAGATGGGGCTACCCAAATAAGTTGAGAACTTTCTGAAAGGACACTATACATGAGTTTGAACAGGCTGATAAGCTAAAATAATGGATGAACAAAAAATAAGATCACGTGAAGCGAATTTTCCTAAATAAAAATATACAATATACAATTATATATAAAATCTAAGAAGAGGAAGAAGTAAACTCAGTCAGAAATAGTTATATAAGAGTATTATTAGTATAATAAGTAAAAATGAAAAAGGAATTTTTAATTTGTTTTTCCTTTCTCATTTTGCATATGTATAATACAGATACATTGAATATTATTTAGAAATTCTCAGTATACTCTTGTGCCCTGTTTTTTTTTTGCTCTTCAGAAGTTTAAAGGGTAATGCAAATGTGGACCCCTTGCTCACGGTGCCTAGACAGATATCAGGTATGCCTCACTGATGATGCCTAACAAGGCTGATACAATCGTCTGGGGTTGCTGTGTCTCTCGTGCAGAGGGAACTTGCTGGCATTTTGGATCTGGACTGCCCGTATGGGTGGGACCAGTCTGATATGTTTCAGAGATGTTCTCTCTATAATGGCACAAGATGAGCTAAAATCAGCTTGAGATCTGAGCAGGAACCCACTGAAGGGCAGGCTATTTCAGCTGCTGCACGTTCTCAGTATACGCTTGCGCCCTGTTATTTTTATTTAGAAATACAATTAAAATACCTCAAGAAGGGAAACATATTTGAAAATAACCTAGATAAACAAGGAAAATTAGGCTACAGGGACCCCCTTCCCCCCAATCACCCTGGCGAATGCCTTGCCAGCCTTTTGTCCTGGGAGGCACTTTCTGGGCGGGCGGAGAGGGAACACTGATCCTCCTGTTCACGCGCACCGCAGTGATGCCGGAGCCGGAATTTGACGTCACTCCGGCATCACCACGCGTTGTGCGAGGGAGCTGAACAGGAGGATCAGTGCTCCCTCACCGACTGCAGTGACCGGCCAGCCAGCATCCCCACTGGACCCCACAGAAAACGAGAATCCACCCCAGCACTCCCAAAGGTAGGGAGGCTGGGGGGATTGAATTTAAAAAAAAAATGTGACTGTGTGTGTCTGTTAGTGAGTGTGTGTGTGTGACTTTGTGTGCTGTTAGTCACTGTGTGTGTGTGTGTGTTAGTCACTGTGTGTGTGTGTCTGTTAGTCACTGTGTATGTGTCTGTCAGAGAGTGTGTGTGTGTGTCAGTGAATGTGTGTGTCTGACACTGAGTGTATATGTGTCTGTCAATGAGTGTATATGTGTATTTAGAAGGTGGGGGGGCCTGTTTTGTCATGCCTAGGGCAGCACAAAACCAGGATACACCACTGCATACTGGGTTTAAATTCTCAATATAAGAGATTGACTGTTCATAGATTTTTAAAGAAACAATGTGTGCATCTAGCTTTTATACAGGAGACACAGTGGAGAATTGATGATAAAAATTCTCAGAAGCAAAAATTTATAAATTATCATTTATGCTTCTAATAAGGGAAACAAACAAAGGGCTTTAGCAATAATAGTGACAAAAATCAATCAATTTTGAACTCATTCACCAGATTTCAGACCCTATGGGATGTTACATCATAATCATTGCTAAAATAAATGAAGAAGTATATACATTGATAAATGTATATCTCCCCAATGTATCTCCAGTCTGTCTCCTCGGGAAAATATTGGATATGGCGAATAAGGTTAAGAAAGGTTTGCTCATAGGTGTAGGAGACTTTAATTGTGTCTTAGATGTAGACTTAGACAAAAAAAAAGTTAAATCCATCCCAATAAACAATAAAAAAGTAAAAAACAAGCTATGAAGATGACCAACACTTTAAATAAATTCAATTTGTATGACTTCTGGAGAATTTGTTTGTATGACTTTTGGAGAGACTTTACCCATCTCTCCAGAGCATATTCTACGATTGATTTGATGTGTTGAAATCAGTCCTTACTAAATAGAATTTCTAAAATAAATATTTTAAATAACACATGGTCAGACCACAATATACTTAGGAAAAAACAGAAATAAAGGCTGCGCCAAATTAGATCAATAACATATGTATAACAAAATAAGAGAATAGTTCAAATACTAAAGTCTTAGCTGAATAGATCTTCCTTAGATCAAATAGTCTGTAAAGTGCATGGTCAGGAACAATATCCTCGCTGTCCTTCCCCAGGTGGATCCAATAGTATGAAATGATAAAACAAAATAGAAAACCAAATAGTGTGGGATGTTCAATAGGGTACAACAGATAATAAAAGAAGATAGTAATGCACTCACATGTATTAGAGCTATAGCTAGCTCTAGTGTGGAAAGCGTACAGTGGTATGATCCCCGCTTATGGGATATAATGCAGCCTTCTTCCTTCGAAGATATGTAAACCACTCAAAAGAGAATAAAAGAGAAGACCAAAAGTGCTCTCTGAATAAAACGGTAATGAAATAATATATATATAAAATGGTAATCACAAGAATGGAGCAGGCAGACTGCTCCTTGATGGTAGCGTTGGTGGTATGATCCCCACCGAGGATTACTTGGAGTCTAGGATAGTAGAAAATGCCAAGTAAGAAACAAAGTATAAAGTGTATTAAAAGATGATTGGCACAATAAAAGGTGACCAAAAAATCTTTAATGAATAAAATACACAGTAAAAATATCCACAAACACTTTTCGCCTGAACAAGTTTCTTCAATATGGAATAAAACAAATTACCTGGCAAGGTGAATTTAAATATGGGGTACAGATGTTTAAAATTGGCGCCAAAACCAGAGGACAGCCAATAGGAATACCTTCACTAATACAGAAAATAAAATATTTTGAATCTTTCTAAAACATATTTAAAATGTGGTATGTAGCTAATACACACTAGTTACAATGTAATGCAGTATATAAACTGTAAAAACAAACTTTTTTTTAACTAGATTTTCATTTTATGCGGTCACGTGACTTTTCTGACGCCACATAGATAGATGGGATTTGTAGTTTCCTAGAGTGCATGCGTGCATTACGGGAGGTGTGTTAGTGTGTGTCGGCACGCTCGGTGAGGCAGCCGACGTCATGGGAAATGGACGTCAGATTGGTGTGGCCAATGGGAGAGAAGATGGGCGGGTCTGAAAATATGTAAACATACTATCGGCATGCGCAATGACCGCGGCCGATAGGGGAACAATAGGACTGGCGGCCGCACGTATAGGAAGCGTGCCATCAGAATGACCACCATATTGGTGGAGCAAATACCTACTTAAAGAGGCATATATGGAGGGGAAAATGGGAGTACATTATGGATAAACTAAATAACAATCAGATGTTAAAAGTGAACTAAATAAAAGTACTAAAAAGACTATTGGACATAAATACTTAAAAACAAGAGAACATAAAAGACATGTAAAAAACATATATAAAGCATATATAAAAAATATATATAAAGGCATATAAAACCATATACAACATAAAAAAAAGCATGATTAAATTACACAACATATCAAATAAAATTAAATAAATCAAAGTCTGCATTTAAACCATGGGGTATAAGGGTCTTAAGCTTGTACACCCATTTAATTTCTGTTCTCCCAAGAATGTTTTTTATGTCTCCTCCTCTCCAGGGAGTAGTAAATTTTCTGATTCCCATACATTTTA